TTTTCTATAAATCCAAAACTGTTTTAAAATAAAAGGTTTATCATTAAAAAAAAAAAAAGGACCAAAACCACAAGGAGCCCTTTCAATTCATCTACTTGAAGGGCAACATGGAAGACTAGAGAACAATTGCAGAGTAGTAACCTGTATCTCAGGCAAGCCGCAGAGCTTCTGATGCCGACAGCCAGAAAGAGTAATGGCAGGTAGACATTCTTTTTGATGACTACTTCAGGGTGAGACCATTGCTGCACCCCTTCCCAATTTCACTAGCCATCACAGGCATATATTTTATCTTCAAAAAAAAAACAAAAACAAAAACAAAAAAAAAACCTTGCCTCATCACAGCAAAATCCACAGGGAACACAAAACTGCCAGAGTTGGGCAACAACCTACATTTTGCCCATCATAGGAACTCTGTATTTGTTGAGATCGTATCTGGAAATCACGTTGTCACATTACAATATCCATAATCGAACAGACATTTCTCCAATGATATAGAAATGGCCAACAAACGTATGAAAGGATGCTCAGTGTCATTAGACATCAAAGAAAAGGAAGGCAAACCCAATGAGATAAACCCATAAAACCCATAAGCTGCCTGTAACAAAAAAAGAAAAAGGAAAATAACAGGTGTGGGTGAGGATGTGGAGAAAGTGAAAGCCTCAGACACTGGTGGTGGGATTGTAAAATGGTGCAGCTGCAATGGGAAATGGGCAGTTTCTCAAAAAGTTAAACATAGAGTGACCACATGACCCAGAGGTCCCTCTCGTTTTTCAGCTTATATTCAAAAGATTTGAAAATAAGTGTTCATGCAAAAATTTGCTCATGAATGTTCACAGCAGCTTTATTCGCAATAATCAAAAGGTATAAACACCTGTCAACAAATGAACAGATAAATAAAATGTGGTATCTATACGCATTAAAAAGAATGAAGCACTGACACATGGATGGACTTTGAAAACATTAACGTAAATGAAAGAAGCCAGACACACACAAAAAAACATATATTGTATGAAATATCCTTTACGTGAAATATCCAGAACAGGCAAATCCATAGAGACAGAAGAAAGTAGATTAGTAGTTAACCAGGGGCTGGGAAATGGGGAATGACTGTTCAGTGGGTACTGGGTTTCCTTTTGGGTGATGAAAATGTTCTAGAACTAAACAGTGGTGATGGTTGCACAACACTGTGAATGAACTACATGTCTCCATGCATTGTACAATTAAGGATGGTTAAAATGGTGAGTTTATATGTATTTTACCATAATTAAAAACCACAAGTGCCCTCCCTAATCCCATCACCTATTTTACTCATCCGCCTACCCTCCTCTCCTCTGGTATCCAACAGTTTGTTCTCTGTAGTTAAGAGTCTGTTTTTAGGGGTGCCTGGGTGGCTCAGTCCATGAAGGGTCTGACTCTCAATTTTGGCTGAGGTTATGATGTCAGGGTCATGAGATCAAGCCCTGTGTCTAGCCCCACCGCAGGCTCTGTGCTCAGCAGGGAGACTGCTTGCCCCTCTCCCTCACCCCTGCTTTCATTCTCTCTCTCTCTCTCTCTCAAATAAATAAATAAATTTAAAAAAAAAAAAAGAGTCTGTTTCTAGGTTTGATGCATAAAAGTGTTGAATCACATTGTATACCTGAAACTAATATAACACTGTATATTAACTATATTGGAATTGAAATGAAATGAAATGAAAAGAAATACAAGGGAAAAAAATAAAAACACTGATATCTTTCAAAAATATCAAAAGGCAAAGAAGATCCATAACTAGCACGTTTCCAAGTATGGCTCTCAGACCACCTCTATCAGCAGTACTCAAGATAATCGATAAAAACGAAAGTTCCTGGGCTCATCCAAGACCCACAAAAGTAGATTCCCAGAAACTTGTAAAGTATCATATTATCCTTTTAACAGCATGTTACTGTGACTGATTTCTGCACATGGATTTGAAAAATCAAACTAGAAAACTCTTAAGACGAAAACTGTCTCCTCCATGTCCTCTGCCTAATATAGTCCTGCTCAATATAGGCTTTTGTTCATTTTTATTTAAAGAGAGCACACAATTCTCTCCCCTCCAGGTGTCTGGGACTGTGTCAGTTACAAAGAAGAGTCCCTGTGCTGTATTTCCACCTTAGACTGTTAGTCTGCACCAGCGGCCAAAAGGGAGGAATATGGGGTGGGGGGCACTGGTGGGAAGTGGGGAGCTGGAGTCTCCCTTGTTCTCTATGTAAAGGCAAGAGAGGTCACCCAGAGAATGTAGAGATTTTCAAGAGATTACCTCACCATCATCCTTTCAAACCTCCTGGTATTGCAAAGGAAGATCCACACTCCACATATTCTGTGCGGATTAAATTTATGGCCTCTGGAAATCATCTTTAAGATGCAGAGGGAAGATATCAATCAAATGAGTTTCATGACACTGATTACAACCAGAACTCCAAAAACCTTGCCTTCAAAATTGTGTGATAATGTTAAGTGAACAGTAAGGTTGCAATCAGGTCACAAATTTTTTCCATGTTTGTCACACAGGTCAACAAACCAGTCAACACTCTAGGTGACTTTCTCATTAGCATAAAATCCTTAACTTGCAGTTTTCAAGAAACATCTCAACAAGTCTGTACATTTATATAATCCATATTAAATTTCTACTGCAACAGGATCATCTGATAAGTGAAAACTGGATGGGATTAAACATTAAAAGGCAAAGTGAAAAGCCATAGATAAACCAAATTGGAAAAGAGATACTTTTGCAGTATTGAGATAGTTCCCTTTTTGGGCACCTGAGCAAATCTAACACATTCTTTGTGAATACTTCAGTTCAAAGTTCTTTCCTGGAAGGGTCGTGGTACAACTTCCCTTGGTCCAGAAGATAAGCAAACACAATGCTACACAGAAGCAGCTCTAAGGAGTGGGAATATAGGCAGTCATGCTTTAGGAACAAAAGCCATTTCTAGGATTATCTGCTATGTTGCTGGGGCTTTGCCAGTCAATATGCATATACTCATGAAGCAGCATCTACTATGTGCAAAGTACTTTAGTGTAGTGGGAATGCAAAAAAAGGCTTAAACTGTTAGTAATTCCCAAAGAGGTTTACAGTGTGCTTTTATAATTGAGTTTTGTTACTATGCAAACAGATGTGCCCTGCTGGTGCATTTGTTTGGGGGGAATGATGGAGAGACTAGAAAGGAGGGCAGGAGAGAACCAGCCAAACCCTTAAGTCTGAGGGAACGTTCAAGGCACAAGGGTACATTAAGAAAGAAAGTCTAATGAAAAAGCCTAAAGCGGGTTTTTGTGTGTCGCCAACCTTACGTTCAAGGACATTCCAGGGCCCACCCTCAAAGTGTTTTAAACTTATCTGAGGCAGGGCAATTCTGTGAGAATCTTATTCTCCTCAAAATATTTCAGGGGTGGCGCCTGGATTGCTCAGTGGGTTAAAGCCTATGCCTTCAGCTCAGTTCATGATCCCAGGGTCCGGGGATAGAGCCCCACATCTGGCTCTCTACTCAGCAGAGAGCACCCCCTCTCTCTCTGCCTGCCTCTCTGCCTAGTTGTGATCTCTGTCTGTCAAATAAATAAATAAAGTCTTAAAAAAAAATATTTCGGGAGGTAGACCTTAATAGCCTTGGTTCATTTTTCAGGACCTTAAAGAGGCATCTTAAGAACCACCACTAGTCCTGTTGCATGAGAGATGACTCAACAACTAGTGTATGGTTAGGTGCGGACATTTTTTTTTTTAAGATTTATTTATGTATTTGACAGAGATTAGAAGTAGGCAGAGAGGCAGGCAGAGAGAGAGAGGAGGAAGCAGGCTCCCCGCTGAGCAGAGAACCAGATATGGGGCTCGATCCCAGGACCCTGGGATCATGACCTGAGCCGAAGGCAGAGGCTTCAACCCGCTGAGCCACCCAGGCGCCCCATAGGTGCAGACATTTAATTACCAACCAATTTTGTGAAATAAGCAAGTCATACACCTCTTGTCTGATGCAGAACAGGTTTGAACCTGTGAAGCCGGGTCCCTAAACAGCTCCCAACATTTCCATCCCAGCAGTCCCTGCACCAGACCTGTGTCTACCCTGGGCATTCTGAGCCCTGTCTCTGAAAGGTGGGCGCCAACTGGGTCTTTACGTGGAGCGCTAGGCTAGCAGAGGAAGCCTGCTCTGCTTCTCCTGGAGGAGGTGTCAAAGGATGGAGGTAACTAATAAAAATAACCTCTTCAACTCCTATAAATGGTCATTAATTAATAAAGAACAGTAGTCACTGTGCCTCCAGGCTGCTCTCTAGGAGAAGGCCCTGCACGGGTACCTGGACGGCTATAAGAGAGTGCAAGTGTCCAGGAAAAAAAGGAGGACGTGTCCTGGCAAAAACACAACCTGTCCCTAACACTGATTCCAGCGAGTCCTCCTTCGAAAACCTCGCTAAGGGCTACAGACCCAATCGCCCAGTCCTTTTCCCTAGGGCGCCTGGCCAGTACAACCTGGCTTTCGGGCATAGTGGCCTCCCACCCGGAGCACGGGCTCTGCCAGCGAACCCCCTGATCCGCCAGGAGACGTGAGCCGCCCCCACCCTTTCAAGACCTGGTCGGGCCAGCCACCAGAGCCCGGCGCCCCCGAGGGAGGTCCCGTCCTGCAACCCATGCCCCCAGCTCCCCGCACCCTCGAGGGAGGGCCAGTTCTACACACCCAGCTTCCTGCACCCAACCCTAGCTCTCCGCGCCCCCGCGGGAGGGCCCTCCTTGCCCCTGGCGCCCCGGAGCGGGCGGGCGCGCGTCGGAACTCCGCGCTCTCGCGCCTCGCAGCCCGCGGGGAAGCGTCAGGGCAGAGGCGGGGTGGGGCGAAGTTAAAAGGCGCTGCAAGTGGGAGCCTGGCCTGCACCCGAAGCCGAGCGGGAGCGCCGACTGCGCATTCCCGACACCGGCCGAAGAGTCCGCGGCGCCCCAACCAGACCTGCTGCCGGGTTGGGGCGGAGGGCGCCGCCCTGCGCGGAGAACCCCGCGCCCTCGGATTGTGGACCCCGGCCTCAGTCCCTTGGAGCAGGTAAGCGGGAGCCAGGCACGCTGCGACAGGGACGACGCCCCCTGAATGCTGGCGGCGGGCTTGGGGGCGCGGTGAGGGAGGCGGTGGGCGTGCGGCACCATCTCGGCCCTTCGCCCGAAGTAGTTGCCCCGGAGAACCGCGAGCAGGTGAGGTAGGCAGCCTGTCACCTCTCTGGCGATCTTGGGGGCGATCGCTCCATGGTGGACCCTGTGGCCGCAGGGCATAATTGCCCTCCGATCGCTGGGCGGCGGGCGAGGGGTGGGTGTCCGCGTGTTGAGGTTGCCCAGGGCAACCTTATCTGCTGTGGATCCGCATCATCGAGCGTCTGCTGGGGCTTCTGCCGGATTCCTGGAGTCCTCTGCGCACCCGGAGGAACGAGGATGGACGGGTTTGACTTTTACCCTAGATGGTCCCCCTTCGACCTGCATAACAGGTTTGATAAATACACTACCTCGTGTGTGTCAGTGGCCAGGGTGTGGACCCGTGCCCCTTTCCCCCACTTCCTTTGCTGCATTTTGGGTTTTCTTTGCTTTCATGAAACCCTGACGAAGTCCTGCTTGGATCTGGGGAAAAGAAAAGCCGGTTCAACCGGGCTAGTGGATAAGTCCCAGGTAGAACTGACCCGTTTGGCTGCGTGATGTATGCCCAAGGAACTTGGGAAACGCAGATGACAATAATGCAATTACTGGACAATTACTGGACAAGAATAATTAAGAGTCACTGGTGACACATGTCAGTTAAAAGGTGGAGGCACCAGAAGGTACTTCCTGTCTAGTGAGGGAGAGGAGTCCCAGGTGTTCCTTTGCATCGCGTGTTTCGACGGGCCTGGCCTCCCTTTCTGGATTGAACTTCAGGTGAGTGTGGCCTGAATGCAGTTATGAAGGCTTGTAGGGGGTACAGGCGTGCAGCCACTGCAGGGCCAACTGGTACAGCAGTGACTACAGTGTCCCCTAGGTGTAATCTCGCTGTCAGTGTAGTGCCTGGACTGAATGTTACCACATATCATTGTTCTTTCCCTTCAGTAGACTTTATGCCATAGAAGTACTTTCTTGCCCCAGTTCTAGTAGAATCTAACCGGAATCTAACCAGTGTTCTAGAAGAAAATGTCCTGCCCCAATGCAGTTTCCTTAGAATTGCAGGATGCTGCTCAAAACTGCTCCTGTGGAGAGCTTTGTCTGTTGTTTGGATCAGGCGGAGTCTTTGGGGGTGTTGTTTGAACCCTGCCAAAAAGGAAAGAAGGAAGTTATGAAGAGAGAACCTCAACACTCTCTACCCTGTGACATAACTGAGGTGGGAGTTGGGACCCCCACTGGGCCAGTGGGGACAGTGACCCTAACTGAGAAGACACGAATCAGTCCAGCAGCTTCACTCATGTTTTTATTTTAAAACCAACTCTTGTACTGGTAACAGTGAGTAACAGTGACTTCATTTTCTTTTTCTTACTTTTTATGTTCTGAATTATAACAGCTTTAAGAAAGAAAAGAACTGCAGAAGTCTGACTAAACAATTGAGTAGAGTGAAAGGAAAATTCTTACTTGCAGACCCTCACCATGCACCTTTGATTCAATCTGAATAATCCAGGAGTTATGAGTGGTTTGTAGACGTTAGTTAAAATGTTAAATAGAATAAAATTGTGGGAAAATAATTTTCAATACAAGCGTCTTGGCCATGAGGCCATAATTTCCAGTGGCTGCATTATAATTTATTAGGATTTCTGTTTTACTTGCTTGAACTGAGAGAATGGAACTGAGTCCACGGAGTGCCTTTTCCTTTTTTATTTTCGTGGTCATTCAACTCAAGTTAGACTTAAATCTTTGGAAAGGACACAGGTTTGCTTGAATGAACAGAGATTGCTTAATGGAAAATGTTTTAACTCTTGGACTCCTCAAATGGATTAAGAAACGCATGTAATTTTATGAATTGTCCATGTTTATATTTAGACTCCATACACAGAAAAAGTTATTTCCTTCTTACTGAGTTAATTTTGAAGAAGTACATAGATCCTAAATCCATTTTATCACTAGCTGTTACTCTAAAAGGACAGCTGATGAAATTTTGAGTCATTAAATTTAAAAATCAGAGATAAAGTTGTCCCTTGGATGACCTGAGCTTTCAAGAGACAACAGACATAGATTCTTCTTGATTAAAAAGAGAATTTGAGATTTTTTTTTTTTTTTTGGACTGCCGATTTGGGGGGATAAAGAAGCATATCCAATTTCTCAAGCTCCCTTACTCTTTTTCTCAGTTGCTCAGGGAATGGGCTTGAGGTTTGGGATTGGGTATTATGACTATTTTGATAAGGAAAAGAATCTACACTAAAGATTTTATTTTTATTTTATTGATATTCAAAGTATGAAGCCTCAGGAAACTGGAAGTCTCTAGACTTTCCTCATAACAGTTCTGGGGATAAAGAAAAACTACACACAAAGGTCATGCAATAGACACATGGGAAGTAGTTAAAGAAATATGGCCACATCTAAGATTTTTCCGTCCACGGGTGACATCGTCACTGAACTGAAACTGTGCAAAGATTTATATTCATATCATTACTGTCAACATTGGCTTTTAGCCAATCAAATGGTGTAGAAGAAAGCCTGAAGCCCTTGAGGAGGGATCCTTATCTAATTCTTCTCCAGGCCAATAAGCTGTGAGTCCTTGGAAGTAAGGCCCAGATGTGCTTGTTATGCTTTGACTTTGTTTTTTATCAATATAAAACCCCTCAAGTACCCAAAGCTAATGTGGAAATCATGAGAAATGTGTTCTGTTCTCAAGTCTATTAAATATTCAATGAATAACTTTGAAAAGGTCATCCAAAGGGAAATAGAACTTTCGAGAAAGACACTTTCCCCCTCTTTGTGTCTGCTAAGTGGGAAGACTATAATTTTAAAGCTTTAGTTTTGGTTCTGTCATCAGTGAAACTAAAATAGCATTGTTAAGCAAACTGGTTATGATTAAATTCTTAAGTTTTAAAACAATCAAGAAATTTTATTACTTAATTTATTTGAATTGTAAAAGGGAAGGAACCATCTATCTTCATAATGTTGTGTGTGTCATCAGAGCTAAGATTAATGGTTTACTTATTCTTAGAACTAAGTATCCAGACTGGAGTTTTAGTATCAAGAATGCAACATGGAGTTATTCACCATGATTAGATATACTACGAAACCAAAGACAGTTTATCTTTATAACTTGAAGTGTAACCACATTTTTTTTTTTTTTTTGAGACAGAGAAAAAGAGAGAGTACATAAGCAGGAGAGGGTCAGAAGGAGAAGAGAGAGAATCTTAAGCAGGCTCCCAGATCAGTAGCACAGACCAGACGTGGGGGCTGGAGGCAGGGCCCCATCTCAGGACTCAGATCATGAGCCTGAGATCATGACCTGAGCCAAAATCCAGTTGTGCGCTTAACCCACTGAGCCACCCAGGCGCCATGAAGTATGACCACAGTCTTGTATGGAAACAAGACTAGGGAAGCTAGACAGATGTATTCTTTCCTTGAAAGAGAGAGGCACCAGTTAAGATAAACTTCTCTGTTCACCAAGAGTTAATATTTTACTTTTTATTGAAAAGGCTCCTCCCATTGGCTGCAGCCTTCTAAAGCATGAAAGGAAGGAGGTATTTTGTTTACTAATACTAATTGCAAAGGCTTCCAACGGATGCAGCTATTTTGGAAAGTAATTTTCAAAGAGCGTTCAGCCTTCAAATCTTTTACAACCCAAATGTTGATGGAAAGCTACCCCAGGAGTTATGTTTTTACAAGGAGAGGCAGGGGAGGGTTGGGCCCAGTGGGCAGTCTCCTCCCCACCAAGCCAGAAGTGGGTTCAACCCACTGAAAGTTCGGGTCAGGAGGAAGAGTGGAGCTGAATCTTCTAGTCAGCTTCTTCCTCTCCTGGGCTCCTCCAGTGGGAAGAGTGGCCTGAGGGTAGTCAGGCATTTCCCGTGACTGCAGCAAAGTATCAGGAAGTCTGGGGCAGTCCCTTTCCCTGACTTTCTCCTGACAGTTGTGAGGCAAGCTGTCCTTCTGCTCTTAGCACACAAACAATGATACACAGGACCCATATACAGAAGACCCTCAGGAATGATATGGACTAGACAGAAGAATGAAAGAGAAGTTCTCACTGTAGAAAACATGGGGTCGCATTCACCTAATGGCTTTTGGGCAGCGCACTTAGAGCAAGAGAGGGACAGAGAATATGGACAGCAGCACTTCCTGTCATTTCTACTGTGAGAAGTAATAGGGCCTTTGTTGCTCCTGCAGGAAGATACTGCAGATCAGGTGGTTTGTCTTTAGCCTGTCTTGAGTGACCAGCAGGCTAGACACACTTGTATTTGGGCGTAGTCACTCATTTTTCTTAGTGACCTAGGCATTTCTTTTTCTCCCTTTAAAGGCCTGGGGGAAGTTACAGATTTTTAGTGGAAGTCAAAAGTATTATAAAATAGATTATTTTCTGTTCAGCTTTGTGACTTGGATAGAACTTCAGAATGCATAATTTGGGCACCCAGAAAAGCCAAAAGAAATAAAACTACTGCCATAATTGTCCCTGTTTTTTTAAGAAGGAGAAGCCCTAAGGCATGGATGCCAAGGATCCTGCTTCTAGAAAGCTGGGACCAATTCTTCTGAAGAAATTCTGACCTCCTGACCTCTGCCATGGCTTCAGCCTCTCCAGATTCATTCAGACTGAGTTGTCCTTTTGCACCTTGATTGGTTTGCTTGCTAGAAGGGCAGGTAATAGGTGGCCACAGGTGTGCTGTTGTTCACAAGCCTATTGATAAAGAACTCAGGGAAAAACAGCATTCTTACCTGTGGAGGAATTTAAATTCTCTGCACTTTGGAGGGTGTAATAAAATGTGTAATAAAATCTTTTATTTGGTAAATCAAAAACTTGTCGATTGGGTACTTAATTAAACCAAATTGCAATGGGGGATGTTTATTGGTTAATTACAGAACATCTTCATTTTATTAACAAATAGGATAGGTGAATATCTTGATGGTTAAACATCAAAATGTGTTTCTACTTCTTGAAATGTTTCCAGGATAGAAAACAATTAGCAACAATTAGGAAAATTTATTATAATGACTTTCATTATAAATTAAAAATTAATTTTATAATTCATATTATCCAAGATGAGTTTTTACTTTTTTAAATGTCTTAAAGATTTATTTATTTATTTGAGAGAGAGAGTGTGTGGGGGCTGGGGTGCAGGGGAAGAGGGAGAGAGAAACTCAAGAAGACTCTGTAGCAAGCTCGATCTCACGACCCTGAGATCAGACCTGAGCCAAAACCAAGAGTCAATCACTTAATATACTATGCCACCCATGTGCCCCCAAAGATGAGTTTTTAAGATCAAAGATATATTTACTGTGGACATTGAAAATCTCTTTTTCAGAATGTAGGTACTAGTTCCACACCTCTCTTGTTTTGTGTTTTTAGAAATAATTATTTAAATAATTTCTCTTTTATAAAATAGGGAATAGTCTGCATTTTCTCTGTTATCAGGTAAAATTTTGCGTTGTGCTCTATTGTTCCAACCCCTTTCTTTTCTTTTGACTCAAGTATCTTATTTTCCTTTCTTTTTCATGTTTTTTTTTTAATTTTACTCTTTTTTTTAGGTTCAATTACTGATTAAATTTTTTGACATTGTTGTTACAAGTCTGGGCCCCTCCACTTGTGTATAGTGATCTGGGTTGTCCTCTCATTGTTGCTTGAAAATCTGAGCTCCTCAGTGCTGCTGGAAGTTTCTGCCTCCCTTAGCTGACTCCCTCAGAACTGTATGACACACTAATGAATTCTTGTCTGCACCCCTCCCCAGCCCCAACAACCCTTTTCAGGTCTTTAGCTGTGGAATTCTGCCTGTCTTTTCATTTTCATTGAAAAAATTAATATGCTTCCCTAAAGTCTAGGCTAAGTTAAAACCATAATTTGCATTTTCTCATTTCTGCCACGATGTAAGTGTTTGGCTCAATTTTAGTTTGGACTTAAGAATTTAAATGTTCTTTTCATATTCTGTGTTAAAACTTTTCCTACTCTATGGCATATGAACAAGTTTTAAGATCTATAAATATTTCAAAGTCCTTTACTGCTTTCTGGCCGGTGAAGTTGGAACAGACTGGTATGCACTAAATCCTTCAAAACTATTTCTCTGGTTCCTTCTTCCCGGCTCCACTTCCTTGGCTCTGGTGCAGACCTGCAGCATCTGGGAGCCCCGAACAATCTGAGCGTGCTGGTTTGTTAAGTGCATTCCCTACCAGAAAACCTACTAGCAACCTAGGAGGTTGAAGTTATAAAATATCACAGCATATTTTTTAAAAGACTTTATTTATTTATTTTAGAGAGAAAGAGAGAAGCAGGAATGGGGTGGTGGGGATCAGAGGGAGAGGGAGAAGCAGGCTCCCCACTGAGCAGGGAGCCCTTCATGGGGCTCCACCCCAGGACCCTGGGATCATGACCTGAGCTGAAGGCAGATGCTTAACCAATTAACTGACTAAACCACCCAAGTGCCCACCGCAGCATACTTTAAGAGAAATTTGCTCCGGTCTCTAATATAACTATACTATTTTATAAAATCAAAGGAACTTTCCATTAATTAACCTTGGCTAATTTTTGTCTGTTTAGGAATAAGCCAACATGGACTGGGGTACCCTACACACTTTCATCGGGGGTGTAAACAAACACTCCACCAGCATTGGAAAGGTATGGATCACCGTCATCTTCATTTTCCGTGTCATGATCCTTGTAGTGGCTGCTCAAGAAGTGTGGGGTGATGAGCAGGAAGATTTTGTTTGCAACACTCTGCAACCAGGATGCAAAAATGTATGCTATGACCACTTTTTTCCTGTGTCCCACATCCGGCTGTGGGCTCTGCAACTCATCTTTGTCTCCACCCCGGCCCTGTTAGTAGCCATGCATGTTGCCTACTACAGACAGGAGGCCGCCCGCAAATTTAGGCGAGGAGAGAAAAGAAATGAATTCAAAGACTTAGAAGACATTAAAAAGCAGAAGGTTCGGATAGAGGGGTCCCTGTGGTGGACGTACACCAGCAGTATCTTCTTCCGAATCATCTTTGAAGCATCCTTTATGTACGTGTTTTACTTCCTTTACAATGGGTACCATCTGCCTTGGGTATTGAAATGTGGGATTGACCCTTGCCCCAACCTTGTCGACTGCTTTATCTCTAGACCTACTGAGAAAACTGTGTTTACCATTTTTATGATTTCTGCGTCTGTGATTTGCATGCTGCTTAATGTGGCCGAGTTGTGTTACCTGTTGCTGAAAGTATGTTTTAGGAGATCAAAAAGAACACAAACACAAAGAAATCATCCCAATCACGCCCTAAAAGAGAGTAAGCAAAATGAAATGAACGAGCTGATTTCAGATAGTGGTCAAAATGCCATCACAGGCTTTCCCAATTAAACATTTCAAAGCACAACATAGCTGACTCATAACAAAAGTGGTGCCTTCTCCTGAAGGCAATGCCTATCTAAAAATCTCTCCCATAGGCTGAAGACTGTCTTTATAAGTGCTTTCATAATACATAGATACTTGAGTTAACATTTTGTAGAATAATTGTTCCATTAATATGCAGCAAAATCAAATATGTGGTCTATCTCTGAAAACTAAGAAAGGATTACAACTGTGCCTTGAAGTAACTTTAACATGTTATGTGGACTGTCTGACATACTAGGTATTTCCTGAAAATTTAAACGTGTAATTGTTGTTGATAAAAAACATTTACATAGAAATTATACTTTGATTAGTAAAAGATATTTTTATAGGATTGAATGTTTTAGTTCTGACTTTGAATTTATATAAAGTATTTTTATAATGACTGGTCTTTCTTACATGGGAAAACATACGATGTTAGTTTTATAATTATGCCATAAGTATCTAAAATTTGAACTTACAAAAGATATATCTTATTGTAAATAGTGTTTTGCATTGTCTGTTGACAAACTTATGAACTATCATGATACTCTTAAGGTGGAAATTGTTCATTGTATAAAATATTTTATTGCTTCCTGAATGTAGACAGAACTGTATGGAAGTAGGAAGCTTTTTAAAACTAGACACGTTGCAATCATTGTGAACAGCTGACATGAATGTGCTAACCTCAATAAAGATTAGCCCCATTGCTTATGCCTTCATCTGCATTATGGGTTTCTGTTCAGTCTTGGCCTCAATGTGGTCATTCCTCATGTGGTAATATGAGTTGGTTGGGTTACTTTTGGTGGGCAGGCTGCTGGTTGTGTGGGTAGAGTTGCCCAGGAGTTCAACACCGATTCTTCTATCCTCATCAAATGAGCAGAAGCTTAGCTTAGCAGCCCACCCAGTTCTTAGCTTGGAGAGGATTTGTCTGCTTTAGGACACAGGGTCAGTTCAGCCCTTATAGAGAGGAGGTTAAGGAAGTCAGATGCAGCTCTCACACAAAGCTTGCCTCAAAGGAATCATTCATTACCTGAATCCTTCAGACCATGATGACTGAGATATGTACACACAGCTTCACACCCACAGATGAGGAAACCTTTCTCTCCAGGGATTTCCAGATTGAACACAGATGCCTGGATGGTGGGTGCTGGTGAGTCAGACTGGTAACTCTGGAGTGGTAAGACACACACACACAAACACATGAAACCGCCATGTAAAGGGGCAACATTGGCATGGCATATTCTGCATGAGGAAGCCTAATGAATAATAAGTGTCCACAAGAGCTTGTTGACACATGTCAACATGGCTCTGTGATTCCAAAACATCTCTCCAGGAAAACAAAGTATTCTCATTTTCTTTAGAGTCCAAAGCAAATTCTAAACATATCATTTCACTCATAAATGTCTCAGAATCAATCTATAAAAACCAAAGAATAACTTTTCAAAACAAAACTATAATCCTACCATCCTATTAAAAAATCTAGTTAGGAGTCATAATTCCCAATGTCCTATAATGTTCTTTTCTTTTTAAATATCTAATCAAATGAGGATCAAATGAAGGACAAGGTGAAATACCAGGGGCACCTAAAATAGCCTTAGTAGCAATACCAATCTGTATCAGAAAGGAACTACCTTCCCACCATGATCTTGGGACTCCTGTTACCCCTCATGACAACACCACCTAATTGGTCCCTCCTTTCTTATTTTCCAACTCTTTCTCTTCAGTTGTTTTCTGCTCTTTAAAGCCCCTAATGCTCCTTCCCTCTGGAACTTTCTCTCCATACCATTGCACCAAGGTCAGGAGTGGTGGGCCATACTTTCTTTCCCCATCCACTTCTCAGCATCTTCTGTCCTCATTCTCACCACCGAACCCAAGCCACTCTCAGCACCATGACTTGCTGAACACCAAATCTCATGGCTCTTTATCAGTTTTCATCTTCTTAAAACTCTTTTTGAGACCTCTTTTTTGGATCCCAAGGCACAAGAAACTGCCCAACCTAAACTTGGGTCTCCACCTCCAACAGCTCCTCTATTTCCTGCATTGATTTCCCTCCCTCTCCTATCCCTTGAGAGAAGACCTTTCTTTTTCTCACCCTATCTTTGGAATCTCATTTATCTGTGCAGTTACCCTGAGATAGTATCCCATTTTACAGAGAGGTTAAATAACTTGCCCAAAGTCACAGAGGTAATATGTAGCAGAACCAAAGTTCGAACCAAGTCCAACTGTCTCTAAAGGCAGTGGCTTAACCACCAAGTTGCACTGGTTCCCACAGCTCCGTGCTGGATGACCACATATAACATGATAAAAAAATCCCACGCACTTCTCACCTAGCTCCAACAATGATCTATTCATGCTTTTTCACTTTCCCAGGAGACTCTCGTCTCCTTATCCCCCACTCTGGATGCTCTGAAGCAAATTCCAGACACATCATTTCATCAGTAGATACTTCAATATGGGTCTTATAAGAGTAGACCAATCTTTTAAAACTAAAATATAATACCACCATCACATTACAAAATCCAGTCATGGCTCATAATTCCCCAGTTGTCCTATGCAGACCCCTCTCTTTTTTTTCTTGTCATTTTGAGATAATTGTAGAATCACCTGTAAGCATAACAAATAATGCAGAGGACCATGTTAACCTTGCACAGTTTCTCTCAATAGTAACATCTTGCAAAACTATACTACAGGATCTCAACCACTGCATTGACTGATACAGTAAAGACAGAATATTTCCATCACCACAAGGATCCCCCATGTGGTCCTTTTATACCTACACCCAATCCTTTCCTATCCCATCTCCACCTACCACATGTCTTTCTGATTTCTGGCAACCACTGATCTGCTCATTATTTCTATAGTTTTTTTTTTTTTCATTTCAAGAATGTTTTTATAAAAGAAATCATATAATATGCAACCTTCTGAGATTGGATTTTTTCCCCTCAGTGTAATTCTCTGAAGACTCATCTGGGTTGTTTTGTGCACCAATAATCTGGTGTTTTTTTTCTTTTACTGCTAAGTAATGTTCCATGGTATGGATATGCACAATTTATTTAACCATTCACTCCCTAACGGACATCTGGGCTGTTTCCAGTCTGGGGCTTATATGAAAAATATGAACTTTCATATACAGGTTTTTCTGTGAACACATTTTCATTTCTTGTGACAAATATTCAAGAATCTAATTGCTGGGTATATGGTAGTTGCACGTTTCATTTTTTTAAGAAACTACCAGACAGTTTTCCAGAGTAGCTGCATCATTCTACATTCTCACCAGCAATGTATGGGTGATTCAGTTCTTCCTCATCCTTGTCAGCATTTGGTGTTGTCACTATTTTTTATTTTGGCCATTCTGATAGATGTGTTTAATTTGCATTTCTGTAATGGCTAATGAAGTTGAACACCTTCTCATGTGATTATTAGCGATCTCTAAATCATCTTCATTTTCTAACTAGATTTTTTTTCTAACTATTGAGCTTTGAAAGTTCTTTATATATGTAGATACTAGGCTTTGGACAGATAGTAATTCATAATTTTTTTTCCACTCTAGCTTTTCTTTTCATCTTCTTAACAGGGTCTTTTGCAGAGCAATAGTTTTTCATTTTAATGACATCCAATTTACCAATTTTTTTTCTTGTATGGATTGTGGTTTTGGTGTCAAGTCTAAGAAGTCTTTGCCTTATCCAAAATCTCAAATATTTTCTATTTTTTTTCCTAAAAGCTGTATAGTTTTACACTTTACATTTAAGTTTGTGGTCCATTATGTGTTAAGTTTTATATAAGGTCTGAGACTTAAGTTGAGGTTCATTTATTTGCCTGTAGACAGATGTCCAGTTGCTCCAGCATACTGTGATGAAAATGCTATCTTTCATCTATTGAGCTGTTTTTGTGTTTTTGTTAAAAATCAATTAAGCATATTGGTGTGGAGCTATTTCTAGATTCTCTGTTCTGTTCCATAGATCTGAACGTCTATCCTTCCACCAATACCAGAGAGTCTTTATTATTATACTATATAAATAACGCTTGAAACCTGCTAAAGAGACTCCTTTCACTTTGTTCTTCCTTTTCAAATTGCTTATGGCTACTCTAATTCCTTTGTCTTTTCACATATATTTTAGAATTATCATGTCTATGTTTACAAATGTTTACAAAAAATCTTGCTGGATTTTTGGTAGAAATAGCATTAAACCTGTGTATCAATTTAGGGTGAATCGACATCTTCACTATGTCAAATCTTCCTATCCATATACACAGTATGTCTCACGATGTATATCTTCTTTGATTTCTTTCATCAGCATTGTGTAGTTTTCAGCACATGAGTCATGTAAATGTTTTGTTAGACTTACTTTTAAGTATTTCATTTTCTTTGATTGTAAATAATTTTTTATTTTAATTTCAAAGTCCACCTGTTCACTGCTAGTATAAAGAAATGACATGATACTTTATATGGAAAACCCAAAAGACTCTACCCACAATCTACAGCAATTCAGTAATGTGGCAGGATACAAAATCAATTGACAGAAACCAGTTGCTTTCTTATACACTAACAAGTAAAATATAGAAAGGGGAATTAGAGAATAGATTCCATTTACTATAACACCAAGAATCATAAGATACCTGGGAATAAACCTAACCAAAGAGGTAAAGGATCTGTACTTGAGGAACTATAGAACACTCATGAAAGAAATTGAAGAAGACACAAAAAGATGGAAAAGCATTCCATGCTCATGGATCAGAAGAATAAACATTGTTAAAATGTCTATACTATCCAGAGAAATCTATACTTTCAATGCCATCCCGATCAAAATTCCACCGGCATTTTTCAAAGTGCTGGAACAAACAATCCTAAAGTTTCTATGAACCAGAAAAGACCCTGAATTACTAAGGAAATGTTGAAAAAGAAAAGCAAAACTGGGGGCATCATGTTACTTGATTTCAAGCTTTACTACAAAGGTGTGGTCATTAAGACAGCATGGTACTGGATGGTACTGGCACAAAAACAGACACACAGACCAGTGGAACAGAGTAGAGAGCCCAGACAGGGACCTGCAACTCTATGGTCAAATAATCTTCAATAAAGCAGGAAAAAATATCCAGTGGAAAAAAAATAGTCTCTTCAATAAATGGTGCTGGGAAAATTGTGTATCTATGTATAGAAGAATGAAGCTTGACCATTCTCTTACACCATACACAAAGATAAACTCAAAATGGATAAAAGACCTCAACGTGAGGCAGGAATCTATCAGAATCCTAGAGGAGAACATAGGCAATAACCTCTTCAACATCAGCCACAACAACTTCTTTCAAGACATGTCTCCAAGGGCAAAGGAAACAAAAGTGAAAATGAACTTTTGGGACTTCATCAAGATCAAAAACTGCTGCACAGCAAAGGAACAGTCAACAAGACAAAGAGGCAACCCATGGAATGGGAGAAGATATTCACAAATGACACTACAGACAAAGGGCTGATATCCAGGATCTATAAAGAACTCCTCAAACTCAACACACACAAAACAGATAATCACATCAAAAAATGGGCAGAAGACATGAACAGACACTTCGACAAAGAAGACATACAAATGACTAACAGACATATGAAAATATGTTCATCATCATTAGCCATCAGGGAGATTCAAATCAAAACCACATTGAGATACCACCTTACACCAGTTAGAATGGCCAAAATCAACAAGAAAGTAAACAACAAGTATTGGAGAAA